CTTGGGAGACATCGTTTAGAGATCTGGCCATGACTTACAGATCCAAAGAGTGTCTGTCACTCAAGTCGATGGCTTATCTCAACGCAGCCATGGTTTTCACGTTTAGCGCCGCACCGTTTTTTGTATGCATTAATTTATGTATTAATTGTAATTAACATTAATTCTAATTAAATTTAATTGTAGATCGGTTTAGCGAGTTTTGCCACTTTTGTACTCATTTCACCCGACAATATACTCGACGCCAACAAAGCTTTTGTTTCGTTATCTCTTTTTAATATAATTCGTATGCATTAGTCGTTATGATTTGAATTGCAATAGATTTACAATTTTATATTTCATTAGGCATTCCGATGGGATTCTTGCCATTAATCTTATCGATGGGAGCGATGGTTAATAACAATATTTCTCACTAAAATCAATATATATTTACTAACTTTTTTTTGATCAGTTCTTAGTGTCGATGCAGAGGATCGACAAATACCTGAACGGCGATGAAATCGACGAAAAGGCCATTTCCCACAACGAAAACATCAAATCTCCGGTCGTTATCGAAAACGGATCTTTCAGTTGGAGTAAAGGCGAGAGTCCTGTCCTCCGGAATATTACCTTTCAATTGGGGAGAAAGCGTTTGGTGGCTGTCGTCGGGTCTGTCGGCTCCGGGAAGTCGTCCCTATTGTCGGCTATATTAGGAGATATGGAGAAAGTGAAGGGAGAGGTCAATACGAATGGGAGAGTGGCTTATGTGCCACAACAGGCGTGGATTCAAAACGAGACACTCAGACAAAACATATTGTTTGCCCACAAATACAACGAAAGCCATTATAATCAGGTGTTAGAGTCGTGTGCATTACAACAGGACATGAATATTCTCGCGGCCGGAGATATGACCGAAATCGGCGAAAAGGGTATCAATTTGTCCGGCGGTCAGAAGCAGAGGGTGTCGTTGGCTCGAGCCGTCTATTCCAATGCAGACATCTATTTATTGGACGATCCGCTCAGGTATTCACACATTGTTTTTGATTTCAATTGCAGTTAACGTTAAAAATCTAACTCTGTTTGTGTGTTAGCGCTGTGGACGCACACGTGGGCCGACACCTGTTTGACAAAGTGATTGGTCCCAAAGGTATTCTTCACAATAAGACCAGAATTTTGGTCACACATCGGGTATCAGTTCTGCCAGAAGTGGACCAAATCATTGTTTTAAAGGACGGATCCATCTCTGAATTCGGCACTTTCGAGGAATTGGTGGCAAATAAAGGAGAGTTCGCTGAATTCGTGGCCGAATATATCGT